ACCCCCCCCCCGCCCAAAATCCCCCCCCCCCCCACAAGAAAAATCCCAAGACCTTCCAGTTTTAACATTCAGTGAAACATTACAAGCTCTTTAAGTAAAACAAAGTACCTCAAAGGGTTCGTATTTCCAACCAGGCGTTCATTCCTGGAAGCAATAGCAGGCAAAAATGAAATTAATGAAAAATCCTCTCTACATTTACTGTGAACAGCTGTGAGGACTTATTTTTGTCATCTGTAAAAACTAAAAGGTAATCCAACATTATCCCACCATGAACCTTGTTTAAGGACTTTCAGTTAAAGCATGCAAATGGTCCCAAACCGAGTTATCCCTTCTGTTACACACAGATCCCCACCACCAACATACCAAAGGATATAAAGCTGTCAGGGTAAAAATAATCTTTCTGTTGAATTATTGCCAGTACTGTTTGCACGGTTTTTGGTCAAGATAGCACAGATGAAGGAAAAACTCAACACTTTGACAGTGTCAACCAGAGGGAGGTTGCTGGGGCCGTTGAGGGGTGAGAGGGCTCGACGTTGTAGTAGTACCCACATTCACATTAAATAGACTTGCAGCGCAGACCAGAAGTCATGTCACCCCGCCATGGCTTCTTGACTTTGGAGAGTGACAGGAGTAAATTGTTCATCTTGAACTCCTGAGAGGTGAGAAATCGATAAAAACGATGACACGGTCCTTGCATCAGCAAGATACCACTGTCACCAAAGGAGCCCGGCGTGGCTAACGGCAACGTCATTCACTTAGCCAAGGGCATCGTAAACTGGAATTCATCTGAAGGACTTGTGTGTTTGCGTGTGAATGTGTTTGTGTGCATTTCCTTGCTTTTCAGATGGAAAAAAGTAGAGAAATGTTTTTTTGTTTTTTAATTCCCAGAGTTCTTTGGCTTGATGCATTTCTAGGAAGGTGAGGTGTGCATTCTCAGGTGACTGATGAGGTTGCGCTGCTGTGTGAACTTCCCACCACATAACTGGCATTCATACGGCTTCTCCCCAGAGTGGACGCGCATGTGCTCTGTCAGACGGTACTGGCGAGTGAAGCGCATGCCACACTCTTCACAGGCAAATGGCTTGAGGCCAAGATGGCTGCGCATATGGCGTGTCATGGTGCCCCTCTGGGTGAACATCTTGCCACAGATGTTGCAGGGGAAGGGTCGGGTCAGCCAGTGGCTCTTTTCGTGTTGTCGCAGGGTTGCTGGGTCTTTGTAGCTTCTACTGCAGACTGTACACTTGAATGGACGTGCTTCAGAGCCAAAGTTGGAAGGACCCACAGGAGCAGAGAGGTCTTCTGCCTCTTCCTCGTCTTCTTCCTTTATGAAGGTCCCTCCCTCCTCCTTGATGTAAAGCTCATCCTCGGTGTGTGTCTCCACGTGTGCGTTGAGCTGCTCAGAGCTAGGGAAGCCCTTGCCACAGGGAATGCACACATAGAGGTTATCTCCAAATGCTGGCTCAAACCCTTCCTGTCTGTACACATAGTTGGCGCTGCGATTTCCTCCTCTTTTACCTCCTCTACCTCCCCCACCTCCTGCAGCCTCTCCATCACTTTGACAACTCTCCTCACTGTGGTCCTGGCCGTTTTCTCCTGCTCCTCCTTCTTCCTCGTCTTTACACTGAAAGGACTGGTCGGAGGTGAAACTGCTGCCACTTCCCCCTCCAGCACCAGAGGAGCGGCCATCTTTGGGACCTACAATCACACCGTTGACAAGGGGTCTGTCGTGGTCTTCAGACTTCAACCCTGTTGCCTCTCTCTTAGGCCATTCGTTCTTGCGAGAACCTTGTCTGGATTTCTTAGGAGGTGGGGGCCCATCTGGCTGGTTCTGGGTCTCTTCTGAGGTTTTGGACGAAGGGTTTATCTCCACGGTTTCTGAGCCACATCCATCTACACCTGGTAGAGTGGCAGAGGAGTCATCCAGTGAGGCACTGTTGGTTGTGGATACTGAGGCAGACTGAGGGGATTCTTGAGAGTTGCTGTGTGGGCTGAGAGCGTCAGTGGCCATGCCCACAGAGGGAGGGCTTTTCTTGGACAGGTCCAGTCCAAGGTCTGGTTCTCCAGCGCTTCCTCCACTACTGAGGTTGCCATTACTGTTGCCATTGCCCCCATTACCGTTTTTTCCAGAGCTGCCAACAAACATCTCATCATCAGAAAGTTTGTCCCGAAGGCCTTCATCTGGTTGTTGCTGGTCAGCATCAGAGGGAGTTTGGGGGTAGTGGTTATTTGGGCCGGCTGGGGTCGAAGAGGAAAGTCGTTGGTTGTTGAGACGTAAGCGGCTGAGGGGACCTGGAGTGGAGGGTTTGCCGGGTAGAGGTTTCCCACCACTGCGCTTAAGCTTCTTTCTGCACAAAGCGGCGAGGTCATGGAGCTGGAGGTAGCTAGCTGCTGTTAAGAGGGCACTGAAGTTTTGCTCGCTGCTCTGGTCCGTTGAGGACAAGAGCTTCCCAGTGTATATGAAGTCCAGCACTTGTCTGAATACAGAGGGGTTAACCATCTCTGTATCAAGGTTGATGAGGTTATCATGAAGAACCAAAGACTTAAAGTAAATGCTGCTTGCAGCCAGGATGTTCTTGTGGGCACGAAAGAGCGCATTCTCCACCACGATGATGACATCACACAGGAAGCCCTTGGCTCTCTGTTGGTTGAGTTGCAGCAGCAGGTGTTTGGCATGATTTGGCAGTTCCATTTCCACCTTCCTTCTTTCCTTTTGTCTGTCGGTCTCTCTCTCTTTCTCTCGCTCTCTTTCTCACTCTCTCTCTACACAAGCACCACCTAAAGCTGAAAAACAAAAATGACAAAAAAAAAAAAAAGAGTTTAGTTTGAACATGCCTTTAAATTGACATATGGTTTTAACACATTTGTGTTTATCGCTAAGTTTAGCACAATGCAGAGGTAAAAAAATCCATTCTTGGTTCTAAACCAAGCCATTGGTGGATGATCCTTCAATATCACATCTTGATAATTAACCTCCTAATTAAAGAACCAAAATGTTATGTGTGACCTATTCAATATTTTCACCGTCTCAATTTCTTTAGTCTCCAGCAGATGTCAGTTTTTAGTTGTCCAAAAGAAATGACATCAGTCCGTGTATACAATACAAATTATCATCCTTTTGTAAGGATGTGTAACATGATTGTGGATTTTTCCTCAACTGTATGTGAACCAGGTGGAGTAAATTAATTAGTAAGGGCACATAAAGCCACACACCATTTAACATATAGACTGCACACGTCACATTTATCACTGTTGTTACACCAATCCAAGTTTATATCTCACGCAAATTAGTAACCCGTTAACACAGCATGCCACATAATCACATAGCAGCTTAGAAACTGGAACCCTTCCCTCCCTCTCATTTTCTCTTTTACACACACACACTGCAACCTGACATGGATCAAGTTCTGATTGCACATACTGCCACAGTTGTGGCAACAAAAGCCAAAGGGTGGAGAAGAACAATGGGCAAAGTAACTACTGTTCTAAAGAGGTGCCTCTTTTCTGCTCCTCTTCCCTATCTCTGTGAAGAAACTCCAGTTTCGGCGGGGTGCCCTCTTTGGAAACCCCGTTAGGACTAGTATCCATTAGGTCATGGTAATGTCAGCTCTGCCCCATTGTCTGGAGATGGGGAGGGTCGCTGGCACAACAGAGCCTAGGGGGAAGGATTAGGTGACACCTGAGCAGGTAAAACCACACAGGAGCTGGGGCAGAAGGGTGGGTGGCTCAAACACAAGGACAGTACCACCCGATCCTCCAGAGAGGCCCTCCTGTGTAGAATTAGGGCAGCTGAATCTTATTCAACTATAACCAGGACAGTGCTGCCCTACTTAAAACAAACAAACAACAACAACAACAACAACAACAACAACAAAAAAAACACGTTCAGGAATCAAAAAATGTGTATAAATATAGGACGTGATTTTAATGCCGTAGGTATATCAGCATAAAGAGAGTTGCTTCTTTGATAACTTTTATCAGAATATGTTGTAACATAGGAGAATATTTAGGGACGGAGAGAAAGCTGAGCTCAGGATGGAGCAGAAATTAGTGTGCAATTTAAACACTGTGGCAACTTAGAGATTTACTACAAACAGCATGTGATTTAATAAAAGGACTTACAAAAAATGTAAATGTTTCCTTCCACCAAAATTACACTAGTCAGGCCACATTTACAAATCCAATTTTTTCGTGTATGTATTATGTATAACCTGACCACACCAGGCTACAAAAAATGTTTTATAAAGGAGCAGTTTGTTTTTTAAATTTGCGTTTGACCAGCTCCAAAAAGGCAATGGTAGCCATTAGCCATGCTAATTTCTAAATGTTTTCTGACTCATCAGCCCAGGAGTCACATTTCCTTATTGCATCTTAAGTAAAGCAATTATTCTTGAAGCCAAACAAAAGTGCAACATACACAGCTAGCAGCTATTTTGGCAGGTCCTGTAGTTGTTTTTGTCTTCTTAAAGAAAGTAAAGCAAGTATTGTTGAAACTGCCAACAAAAGAAAGAAAATCAGAGAGCTACTAAATAATTAAGCCCTTACACAACTCTGCACAACTGTATGTAGTGATATGTCAAGAAACTATAAATATAAACTAAAGACTTGTATATGTATAAAATTATAAATAAATATAATATAAAAAATAAAATAAAATACTTTAAATATAATAAATACTTTAAATATAAAAAAATAATCAATGTAAAATAAAAAGAAAACAACTCGTGACACAGACGGTTAGGTGAATAACACAAAACCAAAGGAAGCAAGTCTGGACCACATCAATGTCGCTACAGTTAAGCTGCTGCAGTGAACAAAGTGTAGTCTATGAATAAGACTTGTCTAGCAGCTCTGTTGGAACACTGCTAGCACAATCAGCTGGAGTGATCATTACTCTCAGGTCCACGCATAAGACTTGCCCATTCTGCTTTGACACTTCTAATCATGGGCTTCTTCCCCTCCCCCCATCACTCCATCTGCTTCTCTCTATCCTCAACCCTCACCAGTTTCTGCCTGGGCATGGAGGCGCATCCCAGGAACAGTCTAGTAATCCCAGTGCTATTCCCAATGTCCCAACGCGCAAGTGTGTGTGTGCCTGTGTAGCCAGCATCTGCAGTTAATCGTAGAATGTGCTACAGGGGTGTTTAGAGCTGCAACCTGCTAGTAGTGAGACACAGAGAGAGAAGGGCCTCTGCTGCGGTGCCAGTCAGGAAACCATATATCAGTCAGGTCCTTCTCTTAACATAGGCACACACCTCTGTTGGCTTTATGGGGGGATTCAAGAGGCTTTACCAGCAGACTGACATAAAAGGGGGCTGGGCTCAGAGTAAAGAAGCCAGCTCAGGAGAAGAGAGGAAAAAAAAAAGAGCCATCCCCCACCTCCCTCTTCTTCTCATCCAGAGCCCTCACTCTCTCTCCCGCCCCCATCACCCACACAGCTACCCTCTCCCACTGGCCCCTACAGTGCTGTGCCGTGCCTGCTGGATTCCAGGGAGCTGCTAATGGATTACGGCTGATCTATATGCAGCTAGGGTGGTACACGTGTAGGCCCAGCTCCTCTTCCAGTGGTGCCCAGGCTTTCCTAATACCACAGGCGGGGATGGGGGGATATAGGTGTGCATCATTAGGGCAGCTCTATCAGCAAGGGAGAGATGCACTTACAGTTTGTAAAAACAGCCAATATCTCATCAAAGGAAGGTCTTCTGTTACACCAGCATTAAGGATGTGGTTCTCAAACAGAGCTGGCCAAAAGTTTATTACTTCCTTACAACGGCTCACAGGGAGATTGGTAGATTGCACATGAACTGTTGTGGAGATCAACGAGCAAGCAGGCTCAGACCAAATATGGCACCACATACCAACAACAGTCACAGCCTTGGACTGCAGATCAGTGTGGATGTTGCCGTTCAAGCACAGCCTACAGGATCAACTTACCTTGACTGCAGTGTAACCTTTTCAAAACTGGCCCTGGTATATGATAGAAGAGCCAAGTGCATTTCATAAAACACAGCAACCTGGCATTTACCCTTCACTCTGACTGGTCTGAGGAGCCCGCTGACAAGGAGATGTGCAGGGATGTTTGCCTAGACCTGACAGACAAGTTCCTGATGACATATCCGTGAGAAGAAGGAGCGGTGAAAACTGGTGAGAGTCAAAGTGCCCCCAGCTGTCAATTAATATCACGCCCTCAAAAAAATCAAACTGGTTAGGCTACAGGGTCTAGACGGTCTGGTTTGTCTTCATTTAACGCTGCCCATCACTGCATTCTCCATACTGTGGAGTTTAGGCTTTAAACAGGGAGCTGGTAAACCCCCCTCACAGTCTGTGTTCATGCAGAGGAGGTGACAGGGAGCAGTGGGCTGTGGCACTAATCTCCTGAACTGAGGAGAGAGAGCAGCCAGGAGAGAGGGCAGAGGTGAGACAAAGTCCTGTGGCGCAATAACAAAACACACCTAGGACTGCAAAAGGTCATCCTCTTACAACCAACAGAAACCCAGACCAAGTGGGACGTCAAAACCGTACTCCACCTGTGACATGAGCATTTATACCAAGCCTATGAAATTATGAAGAGTACTGACTTTTTCAGAACTGCACAGACGGCTACATTATCTTCATAATAATAGACAACATTATTGAGCCAATTGCACACACACACAAGGAACAAGACCTTGATGTGGACGCATGTACAGTCAGAGACAGTGTACTTAATGACATGCAAATGTGCACAGACACACACTCACACACACACACCCTGAGAGTATGCCGGTGGGCAGAGGCAGTGGGGGAGGGGCTAGGGGGATGGTACAAAGCCAGTTTGAAATACAAACAGAACAACCAACCACCTCGGAGCCATTTCAACATGGCTGACGCTGCTGTGTGGGTAAGGTTTAGCCAAGCAGGGCTCATGAAAACTGCAGTTACCTGAGCTTTTAGTCAGTTCGTGAGTGTGATCTCCTATACACCTGTGCACTGCAGTATTGGACATGTCAGAGAATATGTCAATACTATCCCCCTGAATTCCATTAAATACGGTGGGTCTGCAACTACAGGTTACTGGTGGAAAAAAAGTCAGCACATTGTAGGATTTGTACAGCTTTCCACTTCATTTCAGTTTTCTTCCTCATTTTTTTTTTACTCCCACCCAGTTATTTTATTTTTTAGTGGGAGACCAAATGTGTTTGCACACAGAACATGCTGTTCAGCTGTGGAAGCCGGCTGACTTATTTCTGTTGTAAATTAGAGCTGGGATTGGCTCCCATACCAGTAATGATGTTTCCTTTCATCCCGTCACACTGCTGTGACAGCGATACTGTCTCTGCTCGCTCTTTGTCATGCTCACGGAAGAGTCTTTTCAGAGACCTGTTACATATACGCGTAAAGAGAAATCAGGTTGCCCCAGTTTAAATCTAGGAGGGTTAGGTGGCTTATCTTTGCAAGAACTTGGTGATGCCAAAATAATAATAATAATAATAACAATAATAATAATAATATATTTGTATGACAAGGTGTGATTAAGAAAATACAAGAGGAAGTTTTAACCAGTAAGAAGAAACAACCTTGGGAATTAATCTTTCTTCACTGGCACAATTATGATGTTTAATAAGGCTGTGGTGCTACATATGGCTGTATGTTAGGGAATTATTGTCAAAGAATATAGTCTGAAAAATTAAATATTGCTAAACTTAAATTATTACTAATGTTGAACTCCTTGGTATCAATGTATGTTTTGGTAGCCACATTAGCAGTGCTAGTTTGGCTATGGATTTATGAACACTTCAATGCCA